TTGGCTTCTAAACTCAAAATGTATACTGTTATCACATTAAATTCTGTTTGTTTTATTTTTACACTTTTATTTTAGCGTTCTGATCCAGAAGCATCACAGACCTCTTTCGCTGCTTCAGGACTTGTAGTTTTCTGTCAAATCCCCCCAGATGACATAGAGCTCACATCCAGACTCTCATGGACGTCCAGCGTCTCTGTGCTCACATATTTCTCAGGAAGTGACGGATCTTTTTAACGTGTTATTAAACCTGGTTTATTCTTTCCACTTAATGTTTTCACTCAGTAACTCTTTGTTTGAGGTTTACTTTTTACTCTGTGTTTCTGTCTGTCTTAGACCGCTTAGAGGGAGTGAGAAACACAGCAGTGTGGTTGCCATGGTGACCCCACTGACAGCAGCATTCACATTTCTTGTATCTCTGTGCTCTTCTTTTAGATTAGACCTCTGTGTGTCTGTGTTTTGTCTGCTTAGATTATTACAAAATAAAAGCCCTAAATTTCAACAGGGTTTTATAGAAAAGCTTGATGTTTGTTAGAGTCTTGGCTCTGGTTATATTGACACTGTTTCCAAATTTCTCTTGTTATGTTCACGGTCACCACTTTCTTTTAACTGTTAGCATGTTGCTGCGTTACGTTTTGAAATGGCTGCAATCCTGAAAACTACAAGGAAACGGTGGCAAAGTAAATAAATTAAATCATTTTATTGTTTAAATTAAACAAAACTAAAAACAATAAAATCAAGTAAACATTCATGTTAAAATATTTAAAAATAAGAAAAAAGTGAACAAAAGCAACTAGAGAAACTGCATTTCATGCGAAAATATGCTGTGAATGCTTGTTGCTGAAGAACGTGCAAAACAGCTGAAATTAGCTACACAACATGCTGAATTGTAGCTGAAAAGAAAGAAGAACCCTAAATTAGCAGAAGAAAGCAGAAACAACATATATTTGCCTAATTAGGTTTAAATTAGCAGAAATGAAAACAAAAATATGAACAAAAATATGAAATTAGCTAGAAAAAGAAAAGAGCTAAAGCAACAAAAAAAAAATCTGAAAAGTAGCTGAAAAGGCAGAAAGAAGCTTAAACTACCAGAAGGAAGTGGAAGGAGCTGAAATGAGCTCAAAATTTTTTGAATTAGCTGAAAAAACTAAAATTAGCTTAAAAGAGTTAAATAGTAGCTGAAATAATGGAAACTGTCAGAAATTAGCTGAAAGGAGCATATCAAGCTGAAATTAGTAGAAATAAGTTAATTAGGCTGAAAGTTGGAGAAAATACCACGAAAAATAGAATTTATCTGAAAACAGCTGAAATTCTCTAAAAAGGTAGAACAAGTTTAAATTAGCAGAAGAAAGCAGAAAGAACATGTTTGCCCAATTAGGTTGAAAAAAATGAACTGAGTGCAAAAAATGTGGAATTAGCTGGAAAAGCCAAAATCAGCATAGAAACAGCTAAATAGTAGCTGAAGGGCAGAAAACGCTGAAACTTGCAGAAATAGAATGAAAAGAGCATAACAAGCTGAAAATAGCAGCAAGAAGTTAGAAGAAGCACAAACATGTTGTTGTTAGCAGAAAGAATCTGAAAGGAGCACACAACAGCTGAAATTAGTTAAAAGTAGC